CTGCCCTCGGTCTCGCCAGTGTTACACAACATCCTTCTGAAATGGGAGTAGGAGGTCAATTTGAAACAGGAGAGAAAACTTTCAAAAAAAAATCTTGTGGGAAATAGCATGTTAAACTTATCTTTGAATGAGACTATAGATTAGGTCAAGGAATGGGCCAAAATACTGAAGTGCTGCCCCTTGAATAATTCAGACTAATTCTTAAATAGTATTATGGGGTCATAAAACACCAGGCCTGGAAATTAAAGATGTTTATGCTTCATCAAAAAGTCTTTGAATGTGACTCTTGGCACACTGCCAATAAGGGCAGCTCTTGGGGGGAAACCCTACGCCGAAGACCAGAGAGGCAGCTGTGTTCTTCAGCTCCTGGGGCTTCCGGCTCAACACCCACACGAGCTCAATCATGAACAAATTAAAGGGATCCAGACTGAACACAGTAATTCTGGTAATTTAGATAAATAGAGGAAAGTCTACAATTAGTACGAAAAGATTGATTTTCTGGAAAACCCAGAAAATGACACCCTAACCCCTTTGAATAAGCATAGTTACATCCAATTATTTAAAAATAAATATCCTTTTATTCATCATTTTAATCATTCCTGATCTGACTGAAATGTGGTCACATGCGTGCCAGCAGAAGTATCCACAAAATACTGAGGCAGAATAGCCTCGAAAAAATCTATAATGGATATATAGGAATTAATGAAACTGAGTAAAATTGTAATCAGAGTTTTATACCTAGATTTTAGAGAAGATAGACAATGTGTTCCTCATTTCCACCTTTTTCAAGTGCAGAGAAAAATTTAGAGTCATTCAGAAAGAATCTAAGATTTAATATTGGGGAATCTATTAATATAACTTACTATATTAATAGAATAAAGAACAAAATACACACAATCATCCTCTACAGATCCTTAAGATCACTTAATAAAATTCAACATTCATTCCTGATCAAACAAAGTGAGCAAATAAAAAAAACTCTTTAAGAAGCTAGGAGGGCCGGCCCGGTGGCTTAGCAGTTAAGTGTGCGCACTCTGCTACTGGCGGCCCGGGTTTGGATCCCGGGCGCGCACCATGCACCGCTTCTCCGGCCATGCTGAGGTTGCGTCCCACATACAGCAACTACAAGGATGTGCAACTATGACATACAACTATCTACTGGGGCTTAGGGGAAAAAAAAAGGAGGAGGATTGGCAATAGATGTTAGCTCAGAGCCAGTCTTCCTAAAAAAAAAAAAAAAAAAGAAGCTAGGAATACAAGGAAACTGATTTAACTTGATACAAACATTCCTATCAGGAACCAACAGCAAACATCACGATGAACGGACACACACATGCACACAGTGGAAGCGTTCCTGTTCAATCTTCCAATTCATTTTGAAGAGCTGATGGAAAGTTCGTGGGGGAGAATAAATGCACATGAAGAGCAGAAGTAATTTTACAAAAAAGAAAAATCAGAGGAAGATTGTCCTACAAGTTATCAGAGTACAATGTAATAGCATGATAATTTAAACAGGGTGATGCTGGCATGGCACAGACATAGATCAACAGAACATGTCTAGAAACCAACCCACGTATGAAGGGAAGTCAGTATTCAGTGGGCCTCCATTCCAAATTAACGGGGAAAGGATATAAAAGTCAATAAATATTATTTACAATTTGTCTATTTACACAGAGATAAATTTCCCCAACTTATACACCATGGATAAAAATGTATGATAGCTTGCTAAACATTAAAAAAAGAAAACCAAGCCTTTAAAAGTACAAGAAGAAAATAAATGAGATAAGTTTATAAAACCCAAAAGGCATGAAGGAAAAGATGGAAATATTTGACTATAAGACTAAAACCGTTTTTATAGTAAAGGATATCATGATCAAACTAAGACGACAAATAATAGGTTGCAAGAAATTATTTGCAACATACATAACAATATTCTAAAGATGAAAGAGAAAGAGAATTAACAGATGGAAACAGTTTTGGCAAAGGCTATGAATAAGCAAATCAGAATAAAAAATACAAATGGACCAAGAAAAAACCCAAAACCAAAAAATCCCCCAAATTCTCAATTAAGCCAAATTCAATCAAAAGGGAAAGAGTCAATTGTAAATCAAGATTCATTCATATAACATAACACTATACAATGACTATAGAGAAACACAACATCTGATGGAGACACATGTACACAGATGGAGCAGCAAACAGGTGGAGCACGTTCTAGAAGGATATAACAGCAAACTGTGTCTAAATCATGCTTGTTCCTGGAGAACAGGGGAGGGAGATGTGATGAGAAGGCTTTATTTTTCACAATCAGAATTGTCTGTCTTTGGAAGCATAAGTGAAAATAAGTAAATGGAGCCCACTCACTTTTAAAATAATTTGAAGGTAACACGTGAGTTAAAATACCAGCTTGGACTCAGCAACAAAAATGATACAAAGACAAATAAAGAGGTACCACCGGGGCCAGTGAGCCCTGGAAATTCCTGTGGACTCAAGTTATCAAGGAGGAGTATCGAACATAAATGACACAGTAAATGGGAGGTTGCATCTTTTTTATTTTGAACCATATGAAACTGCTGTTTTTCTAGGTCAAAAATAGTCAAACAGCCCTAATTTGATATTCAACCTAAATTCTTCATGACTTTTTTTAGTTTTTTTTTTACCTTTTGAAGAATGCATCTTGACGCTGCTGAGAAGATTATTCCTATAAGCAGAGTCACCAACCTTTTCAGCAAATATATTAATTCCTGACATTGGCCCAGTGCTATATTTGGAAAACTCAATCACTCACAATCTTCTTTTCACCTAATCAAACAGGAAAGATGCTTCCAAATGTTTCCCCTTCTGGTGTCATCTGAGTTGATTCGTCGAGAAAGTCAGCACATTTACTGAGCTCACTAGAGCATTCTGGGGACAGGGGCTCGGAACGGTCCTAGAATGCTGACCCTAAAGCCCTCTGCAAGGCTGCTAGCTTCAAATCGGCACTTCCTAGAAGGGACCAAACTGTGACGGTTACCTTAAAAATGCTTTTACAGCACATTTTCCTGCTTCTGCTGGGTGGTGCATTTTAGCCAAGGCTTTTACTGTGGCACTTTTGTCCTGAAGAAAACAGCTCATGATCTCTGCCCATGATGTACATTGAACAAAGGTGACGGGCATTGTTGTCACTTATGATGTAAGTACAATAAAATGCAATGGATGACTGCTAACTATACATATTTTGCAAGGGCTATTTCAATTTAAAAGAGAAAACGTGTCAAAAACAAAGTTTTTTAATGTCTTTTTTTTTTTTCTTTTTGGTGAGGAAGATTAGCCCTGAGCTAACATCTGTTGCCAATCCTCCTATTTTTGCTGAGGAAGATTGGCCTTGGGCTAACATGCATGCCCATCTTCCTCTACTTTATATGAGATGCTGCCACAGCATGGCTAGATAAGCAGTGCATGGGTCTGTGCCCGGGATCCAAACCTGTGAACCCCAGACCACTAAAGCAGAGTGCACGAACTTAACCACTATGCCACTGGGCTGGCCCCCAAAAATAATGTTTTCAGTAACAAAAAATATAAAAACAAATAATGTTTCTGGACACGCCTTAGGTATTATTTTTACAGATTTGATAACATTTTCTCCTTCTTAAATTAAAATGGGTGCTATATTTTCTTTTGCAGAGACTTTTTAGAAGCATACTAATGGCCACTCTTTTTTTTCATTAAATGAGGGAAATAGTAATGTATTTCTCCCCCAAAATTAAGAGCAGTTTTTATCCATTTATCTTCACAGAGAACTTGGGACAACAGAACAGGAAATGTTTATCAAGCACTCTATAAAAACCAGCTGCTCCTTAAACTGTTAGAGTAACCTCTGTCACTGTTACACAGGATGCCTTTGGTTTGTCAAAGGTTCACACTGGAGAAAACACCCTCTCTGACCAGGGCTCACGGCAGCTCCTTGACAGGGCTTTCTAGCCTCGTTCACTACAGGTGATTCCAGCAAATGTGCCCCCATGACCTAGTTAATTTATAGAAAACAGAATCCATTTCTCTTGTCTCATCATGATTGAACATTTTTCTGAACTCCTGTAAATGAGTAACAGATAAGCGCTATTTATCAGATTGTGCTGTGGAGCGCGCAGTTTTGATTATTCTATTTTCTTGTTGCTACTGATGAAATATGTAATATGCCCCAAAGAACAACACTTGCAAAGCTTGGCCTCCGAGCGTTCCGGAAGCAACGACTATTTTGCTGAGAATCTGTTTGGCACCCGCGCTCTCCTCTTGTAGTTCTCTCCCTCCAAGAGCCCGTGGGGGGCAGCAATGTTCTTGGGCATCTGAGACGTCTTCCAGGCTTCCACGCTCCAGGGCCTGGACCACACAGTTTGCAAGGGACCCTGGCTCTGCTCTGGCAGCCAACAATCACCCAGAAATTCCCTGAGGGGCTCAGAACCTCAACAAGGTTGTTCAGGCACAGACCCAGGGTCCCTTGGCATCCTCAGTCTAGCAAACCAGGAACCCTGCTTCCCTCCAGTGTCACAGGATTTGGGGATGGGCATTTAAAGAGATGATCCTTTGCTGCCATCCCTATCCATGGCACACAGAGATGGGAAGCCCTGGGGAAGAGGAAGCATTCAACCACATTGTCCTCTCAGGCTGCACAACAGGTACGTGCAGAAGAAATGGAAAGGCACTAGAGAAGCGAGAGTACAGACCCAAAGGTAGGCAAGTTAAAGATTTTTATGGCGTTCAGGTCCTCCGGAAGGAATAATCATTTTTCTGACCTATATGGACCACTTTATAAAAATAACTCATTTCTCTCTCTTTTAAAAAGGGGTAATTACGATTAAATGTGCAAGAGGAGACAGGAAGATAGGATGACTGTATCCCCTTCTCCAGGCTTCGGCTGACCTTGCCCCTGAGGTTGGAGCTGAGGAGACAAAGGCAGGACATTCGGGAAGATAGATGGGCTGAGGCTGGAGAGCTGACCTGGGTGTCGCCTCGCCCGCACTTACCAAGGTCCATGCTCTTTGAGGCTTTCAGATTCATTGATTCAGGCTGCCCGGCCGGTGTCACAGATCTGAAGTTGATGTGCTGATCTGGAAAACATACCGCCAAATCCACTCCAGCGCTGCAGAAAGAAGCGACACGCCACAGTTAGGTTCAGAACGAAATCTTTTTCTTTTTTTTAAAGGAAGCGGTTATCACGTTGAACAGAGCCTCTCCCCACTCCCTCTGCAGCTCCCAACCACGCACTTTTAACCAGTTCTAGAATCTCAGGTTTCTTTTATGAGATGTAGCAACTCTGTTTTCACATATTTTATCAGGTTCTACAATTTAAGTAAAATATTCTCTGGATAATATCGTGTTTTCCTCTTCACTGACTTCTGCTAATTGGGATCCTGCTGTACTGCATGTAACTTTAAGTGGGAAGGCGACCCTGAAAGGCACTGGCCCTTCAAAGGACTTTACCAGGTACCAGCAGAGCCTAGAGTGGGTTAAGGGATCTCTGTGGGCTGAGCATGCCCTTCCTTTAAAAACAAGCGAAAGAGGTGTATCCTTCGGAAAACATCATCCTGCTGAATGACTGATGGCTGCAGGAGTCTGGCTTTCTACTTTATTTAGGTCTATTTTCTAAAACTAATGTTAACGCTGAGCAAATAGTCTGCTCATCAATAACACCAAAAGGAAATAACAGGAAAAGCACAGCTGACCATTTAGACACCAGATACATCATCTACACCATTACAGGCTTCCTAGTACTTGTAGTCAATCAAAGAATTCTATATCTGCTGAATATTTTATTTATTTTGCTTGAGGATGGAGGGAATTCTATAAGGGAATTACAGACAATGCCTTATTTCTTGATGTAGAAACAAATTATATTTATATACTTTTTATAAATTAAATTATAGCCACTTTCTCCCTTGGTACTCTCACATGTTTACAAAGCAAGTATGGCGGCTCACTTCAACATAACTTTATCTTCATCTTAAATGCAGTGATAACTCAAATCAAGTATCCTTAGTCAATCTGAAAGTACAGAGATTGAGTGTTTCAAACAGTTGGGATTTTACACTTTAAACAATAAAACAACAACAAAAATTATTATGAATGAGAATCCTAAAATGTACAGGGGATCTTGATTTCTTAACCAAATGTGTCAAAATAAGTTTAATCTTTTCTTGAAACTCATTAGTCATGCATACTTATATTGCTTTGCAGCAATATTAAAATTGACACACAGCAATAATGGTGCTGAGTGAATGAATGCACCTCCATTTCTGTCACATAGTGGGTCGGTTAAGGAAGTACCAAGGACAGGCAGCTCCACATGGTGCTCCAGAGCACAGACGCCAGAGTGGGGCTGCCCAGTTCTGTATCCTGGCGCTGCTGCTGAGGAGCTGTGGGACCTGGGCAAGTTCGGGACCCTTTCCGTGCTTCAATTTCCTTATGAATAAAATGGGTATAATTACACTCCCTACCTCATAGGGCTGTTGAGAGACAAAATGAGTTAAGATTTGTAAAGTAAGGAGAGGAGTGGCACAGAGTAAGCATTTAGGAAACAAATAAGCAGATAAATAAACAGACTTGCTTTTGCCTCCCAAAGTCCCATAAGTTTCTGAGCTTTTCAAGTTATCCAGGCTTTTTACAGTTTCTTTGCCTTCTCTGTTTTTGTCAGACTCTCAGTAGGCCTGTGACTAAGAGCCTCCTCCCCTTCTGTTTGGAAGGGTAACGTGGTGTGATGGTTGGGGCCCTGGGCTGGAGAGTGAGACTCCAGGGTGCATGGCTTCAGTTTACTCCTGCCTAAAATGGATAGTAATAGAATTTACTTTATAAAGTTGTTGTATGGATTAAACAAATTAAGATATGCTAAATATTGACAATAGTGCCATCCCACAATAAAAGCCCAATAAAAGTGAGCTATTAATCCATTTCTTTACTTCTGTGGGTCAGAGTGGTCTTTGAACGGGCCTGCCTCATTCTCCAACAAAGAAATTGTACATGTTTTCATGAAAATTTCTCAAGAGGTTTAAATCTACTTTTTAGAACTACGAGCTTTCTTTTTAATTTTTTTGGCTTCTTTCCTGGTTATCTGGCTACATTCTCAACAGATAAAGCCACTGACATATAAAACATATTAGATGTGGTATCTAGTGATGGTAAAATATGCTGACTGTGAACAAAAATCCTTGACCCCTAGTGCTATGGACCCTGGCCTGGCATAACAGCAATTCTCTAGTTGTTCCAGCCCATTTTAAAGAATTCTGTGATGTGACTGTGAACTGTGAGCTTCCCCCTGGGCTTTGATGTTTTGGAAGCACTTGTCTTTAAATGTGTTATTTGACCTTTATTTGCACTTTGTTTTCCATCCTTTGATCTCCTGTGATGATGTGGCTTCAGTGTCAGAAAGACTCACGGCCTTCGGCCTTCGTAGAATCAGAGAATTTAAGAGCTGGAAGGCAGTAAAGGCCATCTCATCTGACTCTTCATCTTGTAGATAAGATGCCCAGGCGCAAAGAGGAGGCTGATGTTCCCAGGTCACACAGCTGGCCAGGGGCAAAGCCAGGACCAGAGCTGTGGTTTCTTGAGTTTTCCCAGAACCACAAAAGCTGTGGCTGAAATGGTGGTCAGCCTGGGACACAGGTTGTTGCTGTCCTGAACCCACATAAACCAAACCTTTCCCTTTGACTATAGATTTGCTCACCCTCTCTCATGCAGCTTGCATTTTAGGTTAAGTTTTTGTTTCAACAGCGGTGTGTATCATGAAATAAAAGAAAACCAAAGAGTTAATGAAAACAGATGTCATAGGTTATAATGAAAGTCTTTAGGGAGGAGGTTTAGGACCAATATGATTATTCCGCTTCAAAACATAGATCACACTGCATTTAAAGTGCTCTGCTCAAGGCAGACGATGGGAATCTAGCCAAGTGAGTAAGGTACTGGAGTTAACCCACTTCATTGTCTTAGGTTACTTTACCAAACTAGGCGTTCATTGACAAATCAAGAATAAGAACTCAAATTTTCCCAGACTCTTGGGAAACAGTTATCCCCATTCCAAGGGGAACAAGGTGGCGATGCCACTTGATGCAGTAACATCAAATAAGGATGTCTAAATAAAGTGAATTTTTTTTACAGATGTTGAGATATAATCAAGGATGAGCAAAGAAATAAAAAGTTGCTTTGTACATTTAAATAACAAATATTCATATATATGTATGTCCTGGTATATTTATACCTGAATATGTCCATTAAATTGATCACAGTGATATATACATCTTTTACCGTAGTTTTGACTGTGACCAAGTGTACATTTTGAAAACCTTCAATAAAAGAACCCCACTTGCCATGGTACAAAATGGAAGTAAGGCAAGATGAGGCTGGTCAGACTGGCAGAGATTTAAGGAGGGAAGTAAGTGTATCTGAGACACGATTAGAGCCAGTGTGAGCATACAGTGACTTACATAATAAGTATAGTATCCAATTCCTTAATGTGAAAATATTTTAGACATGCAACTTAGACAAGGAAAAAAGTTTGTAATTTTATGCTACATATTCAAAGTTTTTGGAGTGAGAGGGTGACACAATGATTATAAAATATGACATATTTTCATTTGAAGGGAGTTAGCATGTGCTCATGGCTGAGTGGGTTGCAGTGGAGGCTGCAAGTTGACAGAAGGCCAAAGACATGTCTTAGATAAAGGCTGTGTTTTCAGCATGAACAACCAGGGAATCCATCCAACAGAAATGCTACTCAATGTCAAACTATGCTGCATGAAGAATAAAAAAGGGGAGCATGAAACATGTGCCCGCGTCCTGGGTGTGGGGACAAATCAGGAATGTGAAGGACAGAGAAGACCCAGCCATGCATGTTCTGGAGAACTGTCTGGAAGAAAGTGGCAGGGTAAGAAGGCTGTGAGGGGAAAGCCAAAATAAATGAGGTCTGAAGTCTCAGGTGTCCACGCATAGGCTTCAACAATCCGCTACTACGGTTGAGAGTAGATGCAGGTCATGGGTGTGAGAGACAGACAGACAGACACAGAACTGAGAGAGAACTGAGAGGAGGGGAAAATATGAACAGGTAGGGAACAACCAAATGTGGTCTAAACTGTTGATAAAATTCAGTGTATTCCGTCTGCTGACCGATTTGCCTTCAAGTCTCCCTGAGACATCACAGCAGAAAATACATTTCCTTTCCATGTGTTTTGTATTGAGACACACATCTCTTGAACTTCTGGCTAATAACTGTCAAGATAAAAGTGCAAACAAGCTCCCTAAACTCCCGCTTTCATTGGGGTTCGAAGCACAGGCACAAGTTTGATCACATTTGTTTTCCACGCCTCATGCAGCAGCAGTTTCCGTCTCACAAGCCCGGCTCCAGCCCTAAGTCACCACGTCCCCCTTTTAGAGGGCTTTCACCTTGTTTTTGAGAGACAGAACAGCCTCCTTAGCTGAGCCCTCCTGGCTCCCTTCCAATCCATCCTCCACCCCAGGTTCACACATCCACACCCGCTGCTGCGGGTCACCTAGGCAATGCAACAGCCTGTAGGAAGGTAGGTCACAGGACCCCAGGAGGGGAGAGTGTCACAGCTTTAGATTTGTCCTTTCCATCTCGAAAATGTCTTTGGCTCGTCCTTCCTCTCCAGCCCTGCTGCCCCTCCCCTCATTCAAGCCCCTCTCTTCTCCTGCCAATCCCCAGACGGGTACCTTTGTCCACGGCTTCCCTCATCCACTCATCCTCCACAACTGAACCCGCTCTACGTGATATGTCATTCCCAGGCTTGAAACCCTTCAACGCTTCTGCACTGCTCTCTGCAGAAGCATGACAGAAGCATCACGGAGTGCGGCAGACAACGTCCTTCCCGCTGATTCCCCCAGAGACCATATGCTTCAGCCACACTGAACAAGCTGTGCATTTCCCTCTCCCGTCACCTGGTTTTCCTCACCTAAATTTCCCTTCCCACCACTCCTCTGCCTAGTAAGCTTCGTTCCAGGAGGAAAGATCCTCCAGGAGATCTTTCAAACACTCCCTCTCCTGTAGAACCTTCCTTGAGCCCTGCAGGCAGTTAGTGGCTCATTCCTCTGGGCTCCAGCAGCATCTTTTATGTAATGCTCAGCGGTTTGCTTCCTAATTATCTGTGTCTGTCTCATCAGGAGGACACTGCATTCTTTGCAGGCAGGGATGGTTTCCACCCATTCGAGAACTTTCTACAGTGCCTAGCTCAGAGCTCCATAAATACTTTTGGATGGATGAGTGAGCAAATGCATGACTTTTTGATCATATACTATAGAGCAGAAAAGAAGATGAAAGTCTGAGAAAATGCTATACTTTTGATTGAGATTGCTGTCAATGTTTAAGAGAACAGAAGCTTAAACACAGGGTGCTAGGGAAAAGGAGAGTGAAAAGGAGATGGAAGTTACTGGTTCATATCCTGCAATGAAGATTTACTGCAGTGAGGGACAACATAAGCTTTTTTTCAAGTCATGGAGGAATATGCTTTCCTGAAAGGGGAAGGGAAGAAATCTGTGGAGATGTTGAAGCAGCCAAAAAGGCAGTTGCTAATCCCCAATGATTCTACCTGTGCAATATCTCTGAACTACCTCTCTCACCTGAAGGCTTCACATCTGAAAGCTTATCCCCATCCTTCCCAGCACAGTCTTCAGTATTTCTCACTGCAGATGTTCCAGAAGGTATCCATAGACTCTGGCTTCTAGTGGACATTAACCCTCCTCAATTTATACAACTAAAACCTGGGTCTTATCTGCTGGAAGTCCTACAGTGAGATCTTCCTCTCCACGGAACGCAGGCTATATTCCCCATCCTTGATTTTGGGGCTTTATCATCTGGCCAACCAGCCACGATACAAGCAGCCCAAATCAACTTGCTTTCCCACCTCTGCGCTCCTCCTTCTGTCCTTCCCTCTCTGAAATCCCTTCCTTCCTGGGCTCATCTCATGCCCACCTCTATTCATATCTGAAGGTTCAGCTCAAATGCCACATTTTCCATAACATGTTCCCTGCCTCCTCTACCTGGAAGCATTCTCCTCTCTCTGCCTCAGATGTCCAGGGCACTTCATCTCTATCTTCTGGAACATAGCATTTTGTACTTTGTGTTCTAGTTGTCACTTTTACCTACTAGACTTGCACCTTCTTGAGAGTTGGGTTTTGAGTCCCTGGACCCAAATTTAACGTGTGTGGGGGTTTCCCCAGACTTCCAACAATTCTCGGACACCAGCAGGGTGTCGATGAATTCAAGTCAATTCTGACACTATCTGCCTGGAGACAGCACCACATTCCACATGTTGAGGGCTCAGTCCTACAAGACTGCCCCCAACCCCCACTTCAGACGCGAGTGGCAAGCGCAGGTTGTTGCCTGAGCTTCAGACCTACCGACTATAGACTGGAGGTTCCAATGACTCCTCCGTGAACTTCAGACACCAGTCTCAAGTCCAGGTTGTTACCTGTACTTCTGACCAACTGGCTATAAATCAGAAGTTCCCAAGGCCCTCTCCTCAGGTTTGATTAATTTGCTAGAGTGGCTCACAGAACTCAGAGAAACATGTTACTTACTAGATTACTGGTTTATTGTAAAAGGCTACAACTCAGGAACAGCCAGATGTAAAGCTACACAGGGCAAGGTGTGTGGAAAGGGGTGCTCCACCCTCCCCACATCTCCACATGTTCCCCAACCTGGAAGGTCTCTGAACCCTGTCCTTTTGGGTTTTTATGGAGGCTTCGGTACATTGGCAGGATTGATTAAATCATTGGCCATTAGCAATTGATTCAACCTCTAGCCTCTCTCCCCTCCCCAGAGGCTGGGGTGCGAGACTGAAAGTTCCAACCCTCTAACCACATGGTTGGCTCCACTGGCAACCAGCCCTCATCCTCAGGTGCTTTCCAAAAGTCATCTTGTTAACATAACAAAAGACATCTTTATGGCTCTCAAAACTTAGGAAATTCCAAGGGTTTTAGGAACTCTGTGCCAGAAACTGATGAACACTGAATATGTATTTCTTATTATAAATCACAATATCACAGATTTATATCTGATTCATCTCTGCACTATCCCAATAGTTTTGCACATATACACAGGATAAATAGCAAAGCAGAACGAAAGAAATTATTTTTAAAATGGATCTTTTTTTTGCCACCAAACTGTCATTTTTGATTCAGGATTGAGGCAGGCAATGGAAATGAGTGAACAAAATGAAATATGTCCAGATTTTCTCTCAAGAAACCCCCAGAGACACTGATCTAGAACATTATTGTGATTATCAATCTAGTTCATGACATTGTATGAGTAAGATAGCCCACTTGAAAAATGTAGGATTCAGAGATAGCTAAATATAGGTAAGCTTCCAGCTAATAGAGTTAGCTATAGTCTTGTTGTATTACTTTATTTTTAGCAGATTGTAATAAAAAGCATAATAAGAAAGACACCAGCATTGCTGCAAGAAAAATGAAAAAATTTCACAGGATTATCATGAGATATAGAATGGAATAAAACACACAGTTTTAACAGCCATAATAAATACAGAAAATAGCAAAGGGACAATTTAATGATTTTTAAAGCTCATCAGAAGAACAAAATCTATGAATTCCACTAGTCAAATGGTGTGTATGCTTAGTAAATCTCTCTCTCTCATGCTTGTGTGATTCTAAAAATTATTGATTTTTTGGTTTCTATTACAGAATGGATATAATATTGGGCACTTTTTTCAATATTTTGGATTATATATGGTGTTGCTTTAATTTTTAGATTCCATTAACTTTCTTGGAACATCTATTTTTAAAATACCTTTAGGGTTTGCCAATTACAAATGAGAAAAAAACTAAGCCTTATGTCTTCTCAGTTTTATTTTATACCTTCCTATATAACTTTTCTTTGAGTTCTACTGCCTTAGTTTTGATAAAAGAAAATTCAACAATTTTCTTAAATATTTTAATAATATATGATGAATCTTAACAAATTCCAGGAAGTAAAATATGAACAATCTAAGCTATTAATATTAGCTATGAAAAGGTTTCACTGGAAAGGAATTATAGATGCTATGAGATTTCCCTTCTGGAAAGAAATAGAGTTAAAATAAGGTTGCTGGGATTTCCCAGAAAAACCATAACAGGGAACATTTACGATGTATCATTTTATCGATACCTGTGGCTGTAATCTTCAAGCCCCAATTCCAGAACGGGATGTGGCGGTGGGGAAGGGGGTACTTCGCTCTCGGCCCATCCGTCACCAGGAAGCGACAGCTCTATAAACAGAGAACAAATGGAGCTGTTGGAAACCGAGGCAGAACCGTGCCAGCCTGGTTTTGTTTCAGTCCATCTCCCAGACACAATTTTCACCAACACATAAACCAACCTTGAAATAAGTAAGTCCTCTCAGGGAGCTGAAGGATTCCTGTGAGAGGTACCGCACCTGGGCGAGGGAAGCCAAGCCTGCTGATGTGTTCTCACACTCGTGACCCGGCGACAACCCCTGCAAGTCAAGTGCATGCACCCTGACTGCCTTCTGCCCCCAGGAGAGGCTGACACCTGTCCATCGCCTGTGATTTGTGGAAGATCAACAAAGCCACTCCTTTTATGACTTAGTGTTTTCGTAAACAAGACTCTATAATGAATGCCCTGGACTGTACAGTGATTTAAACATTTGCCTCAGTGACAAAAAGTACTTCAAAGAAAATCACGAGGCAGTATATCCACTCACCATGCAGACACAGTAAACCCAAAAAATACTCTTTCGCATCTGTGCCATAAAGGAAACCTCTAGGTTTGGGGTCTTGGAAGCAAAAGACTGGGGTCTGAATCCTAGTTTTCCCACCTACTAAAAAATGTATACTTTTTCAGTCTATTCTATACAGAAAAAGATAGACATGTATCCCAAATATTACCACAACTAATAACAAGGTTGGTCGAGATCGTCTCGTGTACCCGACGTTGCACTAAGCATTATGCACATTATGTCATTTCATGCTCTTCATGTATGACAATATTAACTGATGGACAAAAAGCATTATGGAGCATCCTCGTTAGGAGCGTGGTTTATGGTGCAAGACTGCATGTTTCCAACCGTGGCTCCGAATGCTGCGTGAACTTGGGCAGATTCCTCAGCTTCTGTAAGCCTTGGTTTTTAAATCTGTAAAGTGGGGATAAGAACACTTCCACTGAAGGAGTGTAAGGATTATATAAGATGGTGCATATTCAGGTGGTAATTTATAAATGCAAAGTAAGCTAATAAGTAAGGAAAGGATTACTAGTCTACACATCATAAATTCTACTGTGCATCTGTTACCGTGAGATACCTGGTACAAGGTGGACTCTATTTGTCCCTGATTGTCAGAACAAGAAGAAGACCCCCTGTACTTGAGAAATGCTGCTGGTAACAGAATCCACTTTGACTTGCCCACATGGCAGGTATGATGGTCAACTTTATGTGTCACCTTGACTGGGCCATGGGGCACCCAGATATTGGGTCACATATTATTCTGGGTGTTTCTGTGATGGTGATTTTGGATGAGATTAACATTTAAATCAGTAGACAGAGTAAAGCAGATTGTTTTCCCTAATGTGGGTGGGCCTCATCCAATCAGTTGAAGGCCTGAATAGAACAAAAAGATGAACCTTCCTCTGAGTAGGAGACAATTCTTGCCTGACCACCTTCAAACTGGGACATCAGCTTTTTCCTGCCCTCGTACTCAAACTGAAACATCAGCTCTTCCTGGGTCTTCAGCCTGTTGGGCTTCAGATGGGGACTGCATCATTGGCTCTCTTGGGTCTCCAGCTTGCTGACTGACCCTGCAGATCTTGGGACTTGCCTGGCTCCAAAGTTGAGTGAGCAATTCCTTATAATAAATCTCTTTCTCTTTCTCTACATATATATACACACATCCCATTGGTTCTGTGTCTCTGGAGAACCCTGATGAATACACCAGGCAAGGACTTGCTCCAAGCTCTGCCCCAGGGACCAGTATAAAATGCAGTGGGTTCTAGCGGTCCTGACACGTCTTTGGGAGTGAGGCTGGAAGCAGGAATCTGACGAGCAAGATGAGCAGGGTGGAGAAGCGTGATGAGTAAAGGCAGCCAGCACAGTCCCCTGCACTGCCCACACCCCAGGGATCCAGCGATCTGGTAATATGGCAGCCAGAAACTTGGTGAGAGACATGGAGCAGAAGGACTACAATGTCAACTGGGGACAAGGGACATACTGGGACAACATCTTTTCTGCATGCTTCTGAGGGTTGCCTCAACTTCTCCGTCCATCTTCCACACTGTGATCACGTAACTTGCCTGCTAAGAAGCATTTCAGTTGCACACAACTGCCTACAGAACAAAAGTCTGGCAGCCAACTTCATTTCATACATTAGCCATCCAAGACTGCTTACTGTCCCCCAACACAAGCTGGGCTTTTCTGCCTCCGTGTCTCTGCTTATACGATTGCAAAATGCACTCCACCCGTCCCAGTCCCACCTTCTCTCTGAAACTTTCACCGTTGCTCTGGGATCTGTCGGCACTATTATTGCAGGGGCAGAGAATACCAGTGCTCACTCCACCTGTGCTCTGCCTGGGCATCAGCTAGACCCAAGACTCCACTTCCCAAAGAATGTGAGTTGCTACAGTGAATGCCACTCCCCGTCTCAGTGGTTAAAAGAGGGTGCACCTTCTCCACCTCCTCCCCCTGCCCCGTCTATCAGCTGCAAGCAGGGTGGAGCTCTAGAAGATGGCCCGCTACCAGTGGGAGGAGCCCAGGTCCCTCAGTCACTGTCTGGAGCACAGCCCCCCTCCTCCCGCTGCCCAGTCTCACTGGGCTGTGATGTGAGCAAGAAAGACACCTTCCTTGTCTTTATCCGCTGACATTTGGGTTTCTCTGTTAACACCATGGAAAACACTTCTCGCAGAACATTTATCACACGCTGCTTTCGCAATGAGCGGTCTACAGATCCATCACCTATTTAACTATATTTATTTCTCTTACTGGACTGTAGATGACTTCCTCCTTGTCCTCCTCTTTCTCCTCTCCCTCCTCTTCTTCAGCATCTTCTCTGCCTACTTCAAGTTTTATTACAATCACTAACTTTAATTTTTATTGTATTCACATGACCATCTATGTGTTTTTGCTGACTCTTCATCTTCGGTACCTTTTGAACAGCATATGCAGATGCTGTAAGGAATATTTTTTTCTCTTGGTCCAAACATCTTTGTTAAGCCCTATATCAGTGTGAAAATCTGGAACTATTATCTCCTAAAAATAATATTTCTGGATTTCATTGAGTGTACAAGGTAACCCTCGATTGTCCTTCTACATATATGGCTGTGAATGCTCACAGCACACCCTCTAGTCACTACTTCGCTGATGACCAAGTGACCCTTATTTTAACAACCATCTTTTATCGTTGTTATTGGTTTTACAGGATCCATCCCACGAGGGCCAGACCAGAAAAGAAGGGTAAAAGAGATTGTGACTTTAGACAAGGGCTCAGCAAGCTGTGGCCCTGGTCCCAAACCGGCCCGCCATCTGGTTTTGTACATCAAGTGTCATTGAAGACAAGCATGCCCATTCATTTATGAACTGTCTGGCTGCTTCTGCACTACAGTGGCAGAGCTGAGGAGCTGCAACAGAGATCCTATGTCCCGCAAAGCCTAAAATATTTGCTATGCGGCCCTTTCTGGACAAAGTGTGTACTGACCCCTGTTTTCGACTGTTCTCGAGGGCAGTAACAGCATTGTGTTCCCTTTGCACCCCAGAGAGTGTCTTCTGCACAACGGAGGCATCCGATAAGCATTCAAGTCCAACTGAAAAGTATAACTCAATTTCTGAGCACCACTCAGAGGTGGTGCCTCACTGCCATAGAGGGGTGGATCCCTGCTGGTTCCCAGGAGGAGGCGCATTAGGAATAATTATACTACTGTGTGTCTCCTCAAAGGACCCCAGGGAACACGGGTCCAGTGGGACAGGAGACAGAACCAAAATGTTGGATTTGGGGCAGGGATGGAAGGCCTGAAGGAGACCTTCCTTCAGTGGGTGATCCCGGGCAGACTTGGGGCAAAGGGTGACCGAGGTAGGGGCTGGGGTGCTCTTGAGCTGAAAGGGGAGGAGAAGTAGAAGACAGAAGGGGAGGTGAGAGCAAGGAAAGGAGAGGCAATCACAGACCAGGGGCAGACCACGCTAGGCTGTTACTTGGCCCGGGAGAGATCTGCCAGCAAGATCCTTCAGAAAATACAGCATTGGTGCACTTCATTACCAGTCAGATGCTGTATAGGATTTTCAGTGAAACCCTGGGACACAAAGCTCCATCCTTACCACCATTTTGGAGCACCACACGTCTTCCATTGTGGGCATTGCTAGCACTTCTCCAACACAGACATGAATTTTCTGATGTTACAATTTCTGCAAATGTTAGTTCTAAAAATGCCTTTTCTGTGTAGCAGCTTGACAGGAATATGTATATATATTAAAAAAATAACCCTGGAACTGTGGGTGGTATGTACTATTATTACAAAAATAGGTGGAACACAGCATATCAACATTGGATTTTTAAATATACAAAGGAAAGGAAAAAGGGAAGAAGAAAAGGTAATGTTTTGGCTGTAACAGTTCCTCTCCTCACTAGACATTACATTTTGTCAAGTCAATCTTGTTTTTCTAAAGGAGCTCCTTAAAACCCCCGGCAGTGGTGAGTCAACCCTCACTCAGCCTTCACGAGTCTTATGGCCTATTGCCACCTCACGTGCGTCTGAAACTCAGGAACTCTTTCAAGAGTTCTCAAAATTTTAAATGTTATTAACATTACAAAGAGGTCATGATCATGATATTCTTCTACAGCAACATGTTTATAAATTATGTTATATATATTTTTGTCTCTAAGTCACTAGGCTTATATAAAAAGTAAGAGAATTTCATCCACTGGACTCTTACAATTAAAATTTAATGAGACTATGCTTTGATAGGTCTAATTCTTATATCTGAGTATCGTATCACAGATCCACAAGGAAATAATAAGAGATTTTTTCTGATTTTTAAAATATAGCATTTGGTAGAGGCACTTCTTGAGAGAAACAGATTGTTTATGTTACCTTGGAAAATCGAGGTGGGGAGGGAGTGTCACAGGGGCTTTGTCGGTTGCTGATGTACATGGTTTTTTCATTGGTGTAAAAGTTGTTCTACCTGGATCTGTGTCTCAGGAGGCAGAGAACAAACAGAACCTCCCAGGAGGTGTCTGTGGCCACCTGTGCCCAAAGGATTCTAACTGTTCAGTGGACATACAAACTCCAAACATTCTATTGAAGTTCCAAAGTACTACTGCATTTTTTGTGTGTGTGTGTGTCAGGAAGATCAGCCCTGAGCTAACACCCATGCTAATCCTCCTCTTTTTGCTGAGGAAGACTGGCTCTGAGCTAACATCTATTGCCAATTCTCCTTCTTTTTTTTTTTTTTCCCCAAAGCCCCAGTAGATAGTTGTACATCATAGTTGCACAACCTTCTAGTTGCTAGTATGTGGGACGCGGCCTCAGCATGGCCGGAGAAGTGGTGCATGGGTGCGCGCCCGGGATCCGAGCCCGGGCCGCCAGTAGCGGAGCGTGAACACTTAACCGCTAAGCCATGGGGCCGGCCCTACTGCATTTTATTTTTAGCTTGTGTTTTGAGTGGACTTTATTATTTAGAAATTTTTTTCTAGGTGTGTCCTTACACTTTAACTAGCTCTATGGTTTCGTTATTTTAGCCTTTGCTATCCTTCCTAGAGATATTAGCCTGTTTCTTGGAGTAACTCAATGTCCTCTCAAAACAGGCTGTGTAATGATCACTTCAGCATCAAGGTTTTACAGGTATTGAAAATGATGCAAGACGGGAATAAGGTGCCCAGTGTTCCTTTGGATGTTGCTGGTGTCATCAGGAATAAACCTTGAACTTGGATGGTCACTGGACCACATGTTGCTTCAGAACTAAATGCCAATCAAATGATATAAAGGTAGATATGTTAACAGAGATGCCAGTGTTCTTGATTGTTCTATGGGCTGCTCCTTCCCCAGGTTCTCCCACTGTTGTGATTTAAGGTCTCAGAAGGAGATCTCGCTCTGTCAAGAAAACTTTTAATTTCTTTAAGAAGATGAGGAATGACATACTGAGTATTTCTTTATTTGATACCAAGTAGAGTCAGCTTCTAATGGACATTCTTAGTATCAGGTGAAAGGATTTCAAAAGTTTCGAGGGGCCACTGTAAGACTGGGCCTGGGCTGTGGTTTAGGGAATTAACTTGAGTCAGAGAGACAGGAGATGAATCCAGGCTCCGCACGGATCAAGTATGTGGTCTTAGGTAAACTCTCTGACTTTCTAGTTCTTCATCTGTAAAATGAGGATAATAATATTACCCACTTCAAGTGTGCATGTAAATTGCTTAACACAGTATCTAACACAGTAAACACGTAATAAATAGTCACAGCTGTTGCTACTACTCTCTAATGGAGGAATTCAGAGGAGAAGGCAACATTCCATTCTGATGAAACAATTTAATTCTAGAGGAACCTCAGATTTACAAGTCTGTTCTGATGGAGGAATCTGAGTTTAGAAATTGTTCCACGTAGTTAAATTTTGGTAACATCTTATGTGTCCAAAAAATAGAGGATTGATTACATAATATACATGTACTAGATGCACGCACTACATGACTATGCCAACTACTGAACGCAATGTTGTAGAATACTCAATGACATAGTGAGATGTTCATAATGTGCTATTAATTAAAAAAGCAATTTCCTGAACATTAGATACACTATATTTCATTTTCATTTCATTTTATATACACACATTTGCATGAAGGAAAGACTTGAAATATACATAAAAATGTTACTGATTAATACCTTGGATAGATAGAAGTATGAGTAACACTAAACTTTCTTTTTATTGGCTTTCTCTAAGCTTTCTGTGATGAGTGTGTATTGCTTTTGCCATACAAAAAATTAAAGTTATTAAGAAAAGGAGATGCAGGGAAATAAAGGAATTTTCTTGGTGACCTGAAGTATAATTTGTGAAAAACAAAGAACAAAATCCAAGTTTTTTACATCTAGAGCTCTACAGAAATACCATCTGTACAAGATAATAAGGGACAATCACACTGCAGTGAGACAATAACAAGAACATTCCATCTGTCACAGAAGGGTCTCAGTTCCTGGTATTTAGCACCCTCCTCTTAGAACGCAGCATAAGTCTGTGAATTATGTTATGACCATTTGATGGTTTAATGCTAGTCCACATATTTTTAAAGTTTAGTAGTGACTGATACTTGATAATTTCCAATATTAAAAGATTGTAAAAAAAAATAAATAAGTAACAGTTTGCCAGTTTGCCATTTTGTTTCTCCAAGCATGGTTTGTTTTATACATAACCCTCCATGTTTGGGGCACAAGCATAGAAACTGTCACTTAAACTGAGGCAATGCCAGGAATCTGCTTCACAACTTCCTCGTCGGCTCTCCACCCATCCCCAGCGCTTGCTCATGACTCAGAGCAACAAAGCCTGCATTTAGTCTAATTAACAACTCTTTGTCCCTTTTCCCTCTTTTTTTAATAAAAAGGCACTCGAGTTCTCTCGCACCATTTGCAGTGGATGAAAATGGATAGACTCTTACCTTTCTGTCTGTCTTGGGGACTGTAAGTGCCAAATGGATGCAACACACTATTGTCATTTCTCCTGGAGGTGGGTGCAGCATTTTGACAGTTCTCAAAGCACGGCTTAGAAAGTGCCCCACATTCTGCAGGCTCCTAAGGGATAAAAATAAGAATCACACTTGCTTTTATAATATGTTCCAACTTGGTCAATGGAAGCAAAATGAAAGAATGATCTATTTATGAATAATCTTTCAAGAGTCTCTTACACATAAGTCCTCAACTGAGGAAAATCAAAGTGGCCCTATCATTTAAAACATCCTTGAATATGAAATAAAAAATACTGACAACGTGGTAAAAGGATTAGGAGGGCTGATAGCAGATACAAAAGAGGATTAACTTTATTATCCTTTCCCCCACTTACAACTGGCTTCCTTCAGATTCCCTTCCATCTGGGAGGACAGCTTGCGGCAGTGTTGACACAAGAACACAGTTCATGCCAAGGGTGTTTCTCTGCCAACCAGCTGGCTCCTCGCTCTTTCCCTTGGCGACTAAGTGCATATGCTCTAGGACAAGTCAGAACCCAAGTAGGTTTGCGACTGGAAGGCCACGAGGGCGTCCCTCTGCAGACACTATGTCTTTTGGCCAGGAGCTAAAACCGACTGCTGTGACAATGCCAGACAGTGGGTCTCCTGAGGTTTTTTTCTTTTTTTCCATATTTCCCCCTCCTATTTTGATTTTGACAGTCTGTAAACAAGTTCACGGTCTCCTTAAAACCCCTGTGCCCAGAATCACTCCCCGCAGCCATGTTCCACGGGTGCTGAAGAGGTACTAGGAGGGGTGGTTACAGAGAGGATGGGGCCACGGAGGACCGGGCTTTGCTCTTGCTCACGTCATATGTCTTCCTAACAGATTTCAAGGAAGGAGTTTGGAAGCTGCCTCCTGGCTGTCCCCTTGACCATTTGTGAGAGGAACATGCCACAAACAGAAACACAGATCTGATCCCCAAAGCCCTTCCCTTCTGAGAAAAGCATTTGGCCCAAACAATGCATTTGATATATACTTTCCTCTTGAGTTACAAAAATTTGGTATCCTGCTAGTTAAACAAAATATTTTAAACATCCAATGTAAGCATTCTTAGTAATTAAAGCGTTTTCAGCTGCTGAAGGTCTTTGAGCTTTCTGTCAAGCTTATCACATTTTTCCACGATGAGTATACCCTCCGCCTCTGTCCTGCTGGTTGAACCGAGCTGGTGTTCAGGCACACGATCCTAAACCAGACCTGGAGGCCTGGCAGGCGGGAGAGGCAGGACTTACCTCGCAGAACCTCGGGCTTTGATATAACAACAACAACAAGAATAAAAAAATTTTTCTGCTTTCTCAGCTCTTTGATAAATGACACAATCAATATCCCAACAACTGATCAGTAACCAGCCTAATTAAAGTATTCAGCCTGTAAAATAGAGCTGTCATGGAGCCCTCCATTAGTGTCTGAGCCAATAAAAAATGTAATGGATTTTTAAACATATTCTGCTTCTACCAAGATGAGCTTGCAGCAGGGCGGGAAATGTTCTGGAGAAGGGAAAGAAAAAAGCAGGTCGTAACCCATTTTTTAATACCAACTCTCTAGGCTCAAATAGAATTACAATTGAACCTCAAGCTCATCCTTTGAAAAACATGTTTCTGTTTAAAACGATTTTGATTCAATCAAGGGCTCATTATGGATTCTTCAGGAGGTCCTCATCAAAACTGTTTACGTACCTTGTACATCTGGGTAATGTGAGAAAATACCCCAACAACTATATATTTTGACTTTTCTTAAGTAGCTTCTTCAATTTTTTTTATATCAATAGGATGTTCAAGTAACCATTTTGGTATTCTTGCCAAATCTGACTAATTGGTTTGCCTGACTGCACGAGCAGAGCCGAGACCTTTTTCTGGGTTAGGGATGCTTCTCTGTGGTACCTGCGGGTGACTACTGTTCCACAGAATACCCCAAACACGAGTGCACAACACCTGCTTTCACACACTAAAACACGGATTTGGGAGATCAAATAGCTGCAGATTTTACTTTCAACTTAATAAAGATTAGCTATACATAGGCTGCTGTCTTGATATGAAAAAATGCTCTTTAATCTTCATGGTATCACAGAGATTCTCAAGGGCTGAGAGTCAAGTGCCTGCTCCTCCCCACGGAAAGCATGTAGACAGTGGGGAAACCAAAAATGAATCCTGTTTAAATGTCTTCATAAAAGCCACTTTCTGTGCCATTTCTTATTCTCAGTCGACTCCCTAGTGAACCACGTGAACAAGACCCTTCCCAGGATGGGCAGCGAACACGGAAAGCGTAACACTTCCTTCTGATGGAACCATTGTCAACCCACCCAGAGTTGGAGAATTAACATGAAAATATCTGCAATAAAGGAGAACGCGAATAGTAAAACATCTCAACCTGATGAGCCAAATACAGAACACGCATCCACTAGGCGTTCGCATATTCTAGAGAAAGACATTAAACTAGAGAAGAGGAGAGGCGGTGGGGAGAACTCTTTTAACAGCTGTATTTGTTTTCCTTTCCTTTCCTTTCCTTTTGCTATCTGCACAGTATAGAACTCTAGAGCAGTGTCTTCCAGACTTTTCTATTTGTTGAGGTATCTTTGTTCCAAGAAATTTTAAGGGAGATCTATTAGGCAGAGGCACAGAAGGGGTGACTCAGAGGTCCACGGGGCATCCTTCACAAGCATCTCCAGCAACTGGGTTCCATGGAGTTCTAGGGCTCGAGGGTCAGAACCAAATTAAACCAGAAAGGAGCCAGTTCTCTCATAGTAAGAAGCGATATAGGTCTTATAACTATGCACGTAAGTAAAGCCATTAAATATTCATGGAAGCCTCTCTGTCACTTAAGCAGACACAAATGTTGAAAACAAGTTGGCTCATTATATATAGTCTGCAGTAATTGGCCAATTTACATTTATTTAACATTTACAAGGTTACGTACAGAAGAGTAAAAAGGTACAGTTACTCCTTTCCAATAGCTGATAATACAACAAAGTACGACAGAGTTTCTAAGTTTACTGCTTCAGCTTGCTCTCTCAGATGGAGTAGGTCTCTGACGCAACTTTCATGCATTCATTCAACAATATTTATTAAGTGTCTACTACGTGCTGGGAAAGGGGGATACATGAAGGGATAAAACAGATAACAGTTTCGTCTGTCACGTACAAGCACTGAGCACTCAACTATGTCTGTCTGTACAGCCAGGACGCAGCCATCGTGGGGGTTTAACTCAAGTTCCAAAACTCTAGAGCCCAAGCTCTAATGACTGAGCCCCAACGACCTTCTACTCTTCTTTAATTTGAAAATCCTTTACTTTTTTAAGTTGAACTTATTATTGAAACTAATATTTTATATTAATGTGTTTTTAACAGCATTCTACTTTAACTTTGCCTATTATTGTATTACACAAACATTATTTGTCCTTAGAGAATATATGTGAGATTTTTTTGATGTTTTTCTTTACTCTCAACTACTATCGACTTTTTTTCTTCTTATCTTTTCTTAAAATAATTTTTAGGAACAATTAATAATTATTCTTCATATATAACAATGTTTTAAGAATATTATATATTTATTATAAATAATATAATTGTATAATATAAATACAATAATATAATTGTATGTAAGTGAAATGTTCAGGGATATCAGCATTCATGAATATTTTATGCCTACCCTTCATGTGTAAGTAAAAATATTCATTACATTAAAAAGTCCATAAAGAAATTGTGATAAGAGAATTCAAAAATATTTATTTAATTAAAAATATTTAGTTAGGGGCCAGCCCCGTGGCTTAGCAGTTAAGTGCGCGCGCTCCGCTGCTGGTAGCCCAGGTTCGGATCCCGGGCGCGCACCAACGCACCGCTTCTCCAGCCATGCTGAGGCCGCGTCCCACATACAGCAACTAGAAAGATGTGCAGCTATGCCATACAACTATCTATTGGGGCTTTGGGGGAAAAATAAATAAATAAATAAAATTATTTTAAAAAAATTTAGTTAATAACATGAAGCAAGCAGCTTGCTTAACAGATCAAATTTTAAATTAGTTAAGCTATGTTATCTATGTGCAGGTTATGGGGGAGAATATAGAGAGCTAATTGCATTATAGCGAGTTTCACATTAAGCACTGTACACAAATGATTAAGACCTTTCTAAGGTATGCAAACATCAACCAAAAAGCATATAAAGATGTTATATACATTAATACATTATTACATGAATAAAGTCTTATTTATAAAGTCCAGAGCTCTAGGTATTTTTGGAGGGAAAAATTAGAAAACATGGACTTGTTACATCTGATAAATTACTTACTTTATATGCACATTTTCACACCTTCTGGTTGTACCTAAAATATATAACCACCTGTTCACCACATAAATCCTTCAGAGCCCTTCTGGGGCATATTTTTCCAGTTTCAGAATCAGTATGAGTCTAGCTACCACACTAGGGATGGAAGTTTGCCATTTGGGCAAACTGCTGAGGGCAGTAAAGATTCGCATCACCTCCACTGGTCTCTCTGGCCTCCTCAGGATCACCAACTGGATCATCCCTCGGATGTTTCCTTCCATGGACATGGATCGCCTGAGTGTCTCCATAGCTTCGTGGTTGGACTTTCCCAACAGAGACTCCCCGTTCACGGCAATCAGCTGGTCATTCACCCGCAGACGACCATCCTAGGGCAGAGGAAAGGAAGAATATTAAACAGAGAAAGCATGGTGATGATACGTGGCTGTTCCAGAGGAAAGTTCAAGTTTAAAAATGAAAAAAGAAAAAATTCAGCTATTAGGAATGATTTATTTTCTATGGCAGAAAAAGGGTCTGGAGCTTATCAAATAGTCACAAATACTAGCAATAATGGATTGTGTGAAAGCAATTTTTAGAAATCTTAAGAGGCCCGAGCTGCAATAACTTAGACATTTGTATAACATCTCTCACCTAAAAGTCTGGCCAGTATGCTAACCTAGCCTGGTTCTGCATTTGCTCTGGCAGCGACCCTGCTGTTGACTCAAGGAAAGGGAGTTAGGAAAGAAAAGGAAATGGTCACATCGTTTGACATGAGGGTTTGCATTTTCAGGCAGAGAGACATCAGGCTTAAAGGTTGCGTGCTCACCAGTAGTAATGTCTCCTACATAGCGCTGCTAGCTCTACTGAAGACTGCTGAAAAAAATTCTCATGTCATTTTTTCTAACACAACCAAAAAGTTGCTAGTCTGCAAAAGAACACACAGGTGTGTGGTGAAGGACTGATAAGCTATGCTGTCTTCCGGCAAAAGGAGACTGCCAAGCTCTTTGTGAGGAGGCTCTGACTGATGGTACTTTACCCAGCATCTTCAGGAAGAAGCACCACATCCCACAAAGTGCGCGGAACCCCGGCACAAGGACAGGCAGCCCGCCTCTAGTCTGAACCACTTCTAGGCACTAGTCGTCTTCAGCCAGAAGCCCCTCATAAGCTGGAGTCTACAGAAGTAGCTAACACACCAGATGCCAGCTCTGCCTCCAAAAGAACCTGAAAGACCACAGTGATCTCCCCAACAGGCAGCCTGGTGGGCAAAACGCTTACAATGTTGACAGTCAGGTTAGGCACGTGCCTTGTACCTGTTTCACACCAGGGTAGGAAGTTCTTGCTATGAGACACAGACGCAAGTTCAGGAAGGTTATGATGCAGCTGCTAATAAGTTTAACAGATATAACAGTAGGTGAGCATAACAATTTACCTTCCTGCAGAATTCTTCCATAAATTATCTCTAGTGATTCTCACAGAACTCAAGAAGATAAGTAGACTGATGTTTTTATTCACATTTTTCAGATAAGGAAACTAAGGCAGTGAAGTGATGGAATTTGCCCTAGGTCACTAAAAGCAAGTCAGACAGATGGCCCAAATGGGCTTCGTGAACCTTGGCTTTTCAGCCCTCTCCTAGAACTCACTCTGTTACTCGTCTCTAGACTATAGTGGTGCAACACTGAAACAGAGGAAGGAAAATAAAGAGTTTTTGCAGTTAGAAGTATCTGGGATCCTTGTTCAAATTAACAGAATGAAATTCAAGAAAAAAAAAACTTCCCTAAGAAATGAGAAAACCAGACACAGAATGAACAATAGGACCAACCCTACAGCTTTGGGAGAGAAAGCCTGCAGACAAGATGATAAACTCTGACTAATGCAGTAGCAGATGGCTGGAGGAAGTTCCTCTGCTGACAGCAGGGAAAAGGCGGAAGGTGGTGAAAGCCGGTCTGGAGATCTCCTGCCCTAGTGGAGGCCACTGCCCAGGCCGCCTGCCGAGAGAGCGCCGGCCGCTTAGGGCTGCGGAGGCCACCGAAAGGAGCACACGCCCACTGGACGAGGAAATAGAGATGGCAAAGCAATGGGATCCATAGAGATGGGCGCAAAATCAGAGCTGGAGAATGTCTGACAGGACACCTCAGCAGAGCATAACGTTCCCTCCCTTCCTCTTGCGTTCCCAAGGCCACTCAACCTTTACCCGAATTTGGAGCAAATCTGGAAATGAGATTTACAGGAAAGGCCAAACAAGAAAGTAATCTCTTCATTTCTTTTATCTAATTTTGAGTGAGGCGTATGAGGAATAAGGTTAAGGCTACTGAAATGGGGTAAAACAACAACCTGAAAGGCTGAGTCACACGAAGGGAGACACAACTCCAGAAATTATTCTCTTCTATTTTGGCATTTAATGGAAGGAGGACCATTGGGCTGAGTCTGAGGAGGAGGTTGGGAGGGTCACTAAAAATCTTTTTAGGACAACTGGAGATGGATGTGCGGTTTTTAAAGAGGGAAGGAAGCAGAAGAGTTGGATCAAGATCCTAGCTCTGTCAACAGGAAGTGAGGTCTCGTGTTGGGTTTGTGGAGGCTCAGTCTTAGCAGGACACTCGTCCTCTATGACAGGAAGAAGAAAGACAAAGATGGAAACTTTATGGGGATCGCTAGGACAGAGGGAATGAAATCAGAGGGAGATCTCACCTGGTGACCTGTGAAGGATGGGGCAAGGTCTGAGTGAAGAGGTAAACAGGAGATAAGGAGACGTAAGAATATTTTTTTGTAGAATAATCTCTTACCAACGGGTATTAAGTACAAACTTTTATTCTCAGCTACATTCCACGTCTCAAGCATGCAGAACTACAGTGAAGTAGAACATATTTGCTGTACCCAAATCCAAAACAAAAAGGCAGGGCAGGTCACCCCAGGGCAGCTGGGATTTTTTTTGAAGACATTCACATTCATCACAAGCATCGCTGGAGAGCCGTGGGCGTGATAAAAATCCCCACAATCTCAGTTCCAGGCATGGCTGGTCTGCCACTCTTGGTGTGTGCTTTTTCTTTATAAGATAAATGATGGGTAATTTCATTAATGACGATGCCAGTAAGCACCACATTGTCCTAACACTTAGAATATTATCACAGAATTTAGAGCTGGAAGGGGCCTCGGAGGTCATCTTGTCTGACCTCCTCCATTTACAGATAAGTAATGTGACACCCAGAGAGGATGAGAAACCATTTATTGTACTCCTCTTAAGAGATGGCACTCCCACATAGATTAGGACTTCCTCAGCTAGTTAAGGTCAGAGCTGGATCAGAAGAGCCCAAGTCCTGACTTCTCAGCATTCCCTATTCACTCACCATTCTGTCTTCTACATAGATGACAATGACTGGTCCCTAAAGAAATGGTGCTTCAAGAAAAAAGTCTGTCAAAACCAGAGAGGACAATACGCCACTAGATGTCTCCTGGAAGAGAACCCTACGTGAAAGCCAGAGTCGGATGAAGATGTGGAGACAGGAGGTGGTGCTGGGGGATGGCAGAGCAAGGGAGCAAACTAGAAGAGGAAGAAAGAAACCGTCTACCTATCTAGCTACATCCACAAACACACATGTCCATAACTAGTCTTGATCTGAAAGGAAGCTGATTCAATGAAGAGCTCATTACTCAAACTCACCAAATATCCATCGAAATTGTGTATGGCTATTTTGCTTTGGAATAATTTTGACCAAGAAAAGCAGTTTTTTATGGTTGTATTTTTTCTTATTAATATTAGGTTCAAGTAAATAGTTAGGCATGAGAATGTTAACTCATCAACTGATTTTATATAAGTGAATTCAACAATTCAGAGATACTACTTAGTGATTGTAGGATATTTATTTCATTGTAATCTGGGTCATTCTGGTATTTGTTAAAGAAAAAAAATCCTTTCTGCTATGGACCAAATGTTTGTGTCTCCTCCAAATTCACATGCTGAAATCCTAACCTCCAACGTGAAGTTATTAGAAGGTGAGGCCTTTGGGAGGTGATTAGTTCATAAGGGTGGAGCCCTCATGAATGGGATTAGTGCCCTTATAAAGAGATCCCTTGCCCCCTCTACCAAGTCAGACTACAGCAAGAAGACAGCCAGCTATATGTCATCTCGAAGGGGCCCTCACTAGACACTGAATCTGCTGGCACCTTGATCTTGGACTTCAGCCTCCACAACTGTGAGAAATAAATTTCCATTGTTTATAAGCCACCCAGTCTATGGAATCCTGTTAATAGCAGCCCAAATGGACTCAGACACTTGCCTTCCTACTTTACCTCCATCAGACCCCTAACCAAAAAGACAGCAACTACACCCCTCACCTCTGGCAACCCCTATAACCAACCCTATCCATCTTCAAGCCAGGAGACAGCAAAGGAAATTCCCAAAGAGGAAGGAAAAAAGAGGAAGGAGAACAGAATAAAGATAAAAAGTAACTTCCTCAGGGGACTTGAGGACAAATAAAAACTAGTAGGAGACTGGGGTCTTCTCCATGTCCTGGAAGGGCTTCACGTCTCATCAGCATTAACCTGGTTCTACTGCAGTAGGGGGGGTGGACTGGGAGACAAGGGGTCCGAGTATTACATCTCCCTTTTATTGAACACCTAGTACAGACCAGTCCTTGTGAAAATATTTTGTATATGTTCTCTCATTCATTTCTCACGACAACCTTGTGATATAAATACTACTTTCCATAATTTAAGAGATGTAAAAATGGAGGCTCAGAGAAATTAAGTGACTTGTCACAGGTTACTGGCATGGCCAGGTATCTGAGTCAGACATGTCCCTGTTATGCTACGTGGCTTCTAAAGTCAGAGTTCTAGAGATGATTAAGGGCACCACAATAATTAATGTCTACACTTATTTAATGAGTTTCTACTTTGTGCAGTCATGTGCTAAACCCTTACACGCACTAGACAATTTAACCCTTACAACAGTCCTACACATTGGAAATGATCGCCCCATTTTATACAAGAAGAAACCCAGGATCGGGCCAGTTAAATGCATTGTTACAGGTCACCTTTCTAAAAGCAGATTTGAACTTGGTCTGGGTCACTCTGAAGTCCATGTTTTTAAACACTTTGCTAGTGATTCTTGACCTTTATGGGCTCTTAGCCTCCTTGAGAATCTAGTAAAAGCTACAGATTCTCAGCTCTTAAAAATAAATATTTACACCATGGTTTCCCCACAGCCGCACATTTGGACCAGATAATTCTCTGCAGTGGGAGGCAGTCATGTACTCTGTGGGATGTTTCACGTGCCCATTGAAGCATATCCATGATTTCCACGGGGTCCAGGGACCTTTTAGTTCAGCCCCTGCTGTACTCGACGGTGCCTGGGCACTACCTCTGCCATGATGACTACTGACATTGCATGGCTTAC